GGAGAAGAGACTTCACTTCAAAATTCAAATTAAGCATTTTGACATTTGCCTGCATTAGGGTCCCCAAATAAAAAGCCTTTTTGTAGTTCTCCTGTATCACATTTCTACCTGACACCGGTTTATGTCTTCTGTAGCACTTGAGTGGTGCTGTAGCAGCAGGAAATATGCAGGAGGCAACGATTTTCATGAGTGATATATTTTATTAGACCAACTGCATGGCTAGGATAGATTTAGACAAGCTTTTGAATGCAGTGCATATTGAGTTCTTTTCCTGACAGCAAGATTTCAAGGAAGTCATATACTCACCACAAGATTATCTGAAGTATATTTCTGTTATATTAAAATATTACCTCATTAAAAGAAGAAAGGTTAAGTTTTTTGGCAATGAACTTCTTTAGATGCAAGACTGTTGCTTGTGCTGAGCAGCGGATCCATTTTCTTTTCAATCCACGCAATTTGCTGCTATTGCATTCCAAGCAGATGCTTACCTTCAGAGAAAAGCAAACAGGCAGGGTTGGTTAACAGCATTTTCTGTACGTCTCATTATGAATTCTATAGGCAACACTTATTAGTTCACCAAAATGAAATAAAAACATAGTATCCTAATATCCTTCAATTGATGCATTCACAATGAACTTATAGAAAAAGCCTAAAATTAGTCATCAAACAGTTATCTGCTTAGCCCAGTGATGGCCAACCTTTATGAGATAAGCATGCCACAAGTCAACTCCACTCCACCCCACAACCCAAGTACCGCTCTGATTTCTGCTTCCATAGGCACACCTAATATAATATGTGCCCCGGAGTGCTGGAATGGATTGCTGCAGGGGGAGGTGTCACTGCCAAGAGTCTGATTAACACCTCCTTGGCCCTACAACTGCCACAGTTTTATATAGAGAGGGAGGATCCAAAGCCCTGAATTCAGGGGCTACAGGGCCAGGGAAGGTCTTGCCAGCCTCTGGCTTCTTTACTATTTACTCCATCCAGGAAGAGCACACAGCAGCTGCAGATGCTTCCTCAACCTGACGAAGGGTATTTAAACTCGAAAGCTTGCTAAGAAGAATTTTTCCAACTATCTGAGTTGGTCTAATAAAAGATATTAGATTTACCCAAAGAACCTTGTCTGCCTAATTTAACAGCAAAATACATTTTTTCAGAGTATTAGAAGCAAACCTAAAATAAATTATTCTGAATTTTCTGGCCTTGAAATTATTTTTAGGATGGAGAGCTAACACTGAATTGTAAATGATCAGTATACAGTTTCCACACTCCACCCTATTAGGCAATCCATAAAAGTCCCCATTCCAAATAAGCCTTAGGGCTCCATAATCCTAGATGAAGATATTAATTCAGCCCTGATCTCTCCATCCCATTGCCTCGGGGGAGTGTGCAGCAAAATTTTGAGGTTTCATGCTGGTGAGTGTCCAAAGTCTTGTCAAGGGAGCTGGGTAGGGCACAAGGCCAACATGGCATCTGTGCATGCAGTCCTCAGCAGACGCACAAGAAATTAAAGTAAAATCTTATGTCCTCTGAGAAGCCACTCTGTGCTCTCAGGTGTGCAGGAATAAAGGATTTCCCAGTCTCCTCACCCTCAATGGACTCTGCACAGAAGATTAACAAGTGAAAAACTCCTCCCTTTAGCCTTCTAAAAAATATAGCTGGAACTGGTAGCAAGACAAAGCAAGCTCCCAACAGTCTCCTGTCGAGCTTCTATTTTTTAAACTGAAAATTAGACTAATCAACTAGTATCTCTTGTTTAGACATGCAGGGGAAAGCTTTGCTTGAAGCCACACAACACTCCTTGGGCCCATTCTCAATAATTGATTCCTAGTAGAAAACTCCCATTCAGGTTTCTATTGATATCCTACCAGTCTCCTTCTACCCCCTCAACTCAAGAAAACAATGGGCCTTGCTGTGTGCCTTGAAACTTATTTCTGGAGAAAGAGCCCCAAAAGTGAAGGGCCTTCAAAAATGCCTTGTAATGCCTCTTATGAGTACCATCTTCCTTGATTTCAGTGTTGCAGAATAGCAAACAAAGGCTGTACAATGGTCTTAGGCAATGAAGGGTTTTATAGGTGAAAGCCAACATCTTCAGTTCAAAGCAAGTAATTGAATAGGTCATCAATGCAGGCTGAAAAATATGGGCCTTTTTCCCAAGTAGTCATAATTTATGAGCTCTGCCTCAACCATTTGGCTCCCATCTAAAGAGTGGTCCTTGCAATCAACCACTCTGCCTCAAATCAGGGGGCATGTTACTGGCCCACCATACATATTCTAGCGCTGTGTGTGAGCTTGCTTTGGCTCTGCCAGTTTCAGCCACACAGCTGATGATGCAGCCAAGGAGGGATTGCACTCACCAAATCTTCTGTACAAAAGGGGACATTGTTACATTTTCTTCCCTTTTTGTACAAACAACAAAAAACATGAACTTTGTTGTTTTATCTTTAAGATATTAAAATCAAGACCTGTATTTGATTTAATCTGCATTTTTGTAGAATTCTTTTCTCGCACACAGAATACACAAACTGTTCTGAGATATATTTATTTACCTCAAGTTAAAGCAGTGGTGGCCAATCTTTTTGGCAGGCATACCACAAGTTATGCCCTACCTCTCCCCAAATGTCACTCTAATCCCGGTCCTTCCCAGAGGCATACCTGATAGAGTTTGCATTCTGGAGCACCAGAACCATGACAGGGGAGCTGGAGTCTCCAGACACAGGAAACTGCTGAGAGAGGAGGTGTCACAATCAAGAGCCAGGTTAACCTGCCCCTGGCTCTGCAATTATTCCAGTTTTATATGGCAAACAAGGATCCAAAGCTTAATTTGACAGTAGCTACAGGGCCAGTGAAGTCTTAACCTGGCTTTTGGCAGGGACACCTGCTACAACATCCTGCTGCCTCTCCACTCTGTGCAGCCAGAGGCTTGAAGCCCCCTGCCTCCACTCCACTAAGCACCTGGGGCTCACATGCCACACAAAGCAGTTGCCTGTGGCCACCTGTTTGATAGCTTTGCATCTCTTGGGTTGAGAATCAAAAAGAAAAATAAAATAAAAGCATTTATTTTAAACATTATAAAGAGGTTTGAAAAAAAAAAACACTGCTGCATACTAGCTGTGCACCGGGGACTTTGGCAAGAGAGACTCAGGGGTGAGGGGATCCACGTCCCTTGTCAACTACAACAGCATTGTTATTTCTGGCCACAGCTGTAATGGGTATCTTCACCCTGTGACATCCTCACTTGAGGCACCTTGTGAGGTTGCATCTCAAGATCTTTCAGTGAGGGATTTTCCACATCCCCTGTGACAGTTTCAGGGCTCAATCCTCCCATGGGATAGAACAAGGAGTGCCCTACCACCCTGACAGGGTATGGGTGCTACCTCCAGTGCCAGATGCTCTGTACCAGCTGGTGCCTCCATACCCAGGGATGAAGCAGCACTCTGGCATCTGCAGGATCTCTTAAATTGGCACCTTCAGACCCCATGGCACTGACAGGAGGATTTATATCCTTGGGCTACTATATGTCAGAGGCTGCCTGAGAGGTGTTACTGGGGTCTCCTAAAGAAGCTCACACACTCCTCCATAGGCAGCCCCTTCATTGGGAATTCTCTTAATGTGGTTTTCCCCAGGCACACCCTCAGGGTCCTGGTAATTCCACAGGGCAGTGGAATAAGGTGTCTCCAAGTGATGGCTCTGAGGCAGTGTTGCTCTGTGAAATCCTGGTGTCATGACAGGGTACAGCAGAGCTGAGGACTCCTTGCGAGGCAGTGATGTTGGAACCCTACATATGGGCATAACTGGGGGGAACCTGGGGGAGAGAGCTCAGTGTGGGGGTGGCACTGGGGCATATAAGGCTGCACAAGGGGTGCCTTGCTGCATTTCTGGGGGCAAGGGACAAAGATGGGGCCAGATCCCCTGGGTTCTCTCAACTTAGAACTTGCTGTGGGTAGGCAGGTCCCAGACCAAGACTGACAGGCTGGACTGGGCCTGAGCAAAGATGTAACTAACAAGTTTTGTGCCCTGGGAAAAATCTCTCTGTACCCCAAGGTGCATGTAGGAGATTTATGAGTGTCAAAGGGCAAAGAGAGAGAAGGAGGGTGGTCAGTCTTACCTGTACTGGGGAGGCAAAGACCAAAGCACTTCTGTTTCTCTGTCTCCACTGGTCCACACAGGGCTATTCTACCCCTCCTCTCCCTATGGCTGGGCAGCAGGGGCTGTTCTCCCTGTCCCTCCTCCTGGCTGGGTTCTTTGCCTCCCCCCAACCCCTGTCCCTTCCTCCTCCCCACCCTCATGCCAGCTTGGCCATGCAAGACCAAGCCAGACTAACTTCATTGCGGAGCAGGAGTCAGGATGGCCTCTGCTAGCCTTCCAGACGGGGCAACACAGACATAACGAGCTGCAATGTGACCCTCCAGCCTCAGACCCTGCCCCATTCCTCTTCTCCCCTCTGCTTGCAGTCCTACTCGCAAGCCTCACATGGCACACACACAGACTGTGCATGCCACTTGTGGCATGTATAGTGCAGGCTGGCCATCCCCAAGTTAGTAAAAGTCATAATAGCTGACACTATTATTGATCCTTATGAGATCAAAAATGCACTCAGTTCAGCTTTACTTTTTTTTTTTTTTTCCACACACACACTTCCTTGCTTTTAACACATGGAGAAAGGATTTTTCATGAGGCCCTTCACAATACATCATTAGAAGAGATGAGGAGCATGGGGATGAATGAGGAAAAAAAAGATTTTGAAGTAAGTGTCTTCTTTTAGCAATACCTGCTCATCACTTCTGTGATAATCATTATCTTCTTCCTGTTTTTCCTCTGATGCTTCTTTGTTTGAACTCTCATCTGTTTTAGTTTCACCTTAAATAAAAGAAAGCAGAGCACTGAAAGTGCTGAAAAAATGAAATTAAAGACGCCAGGATACAGGTACATTCAATCAAAATTAAATTAAATCAAACTCAAATGCAACTGGGGTTTTGTATCTGAGCTTATCAGAATCTGGATGAGCCTATCTTATGGGGAAATGAGAGAGAAAATAAGTTACTTTTGTAAAAACATCTTACTGTATTTACTTGAATCCAAGACAACTCTGAATCTAAGATGACACTCAAAAATGAGATTCTGGACATATATACATTTGTTAAGATTTTCCATGTGTAGAATCTAATTTTTAGGAGGCTGTCATAAATTTGTCCCATCCACCCCCAACATAGCAGTGGGGCAAACAGCAGCAGGGGACAGATGGTGGGGGGGCAGGGGAGTCAAGTGGCCTTCCCCCTGCACCTTGCCACCTGCACCTCCCACCACTCCGCCCCAAAACACTGCCCCAGTATAGAACAGCTCCGGCGTGATTTTCCACACATTTTTGTACTTTCCCAAACCTGGGACTGGTTACTTCATATGCCACTGCCTGTCAACAGCCTTATGTAATCCTTAGTCTTTTATATAATTAGGTTAAACAACAGCTGAAACAGATTATCTGGTCTGTAGCTACTACTAACTTCTTTGTTCCATATGTTTACTGCCCTCTGCCCTTTTTCACAGGATGACTTTCATTTATATCATTGTGTTAAACAAAAGCTTGGGCTCCTTCTGCACCAGCAAGTAATGTGCAATTGGGATCTAATCCCCAAACACAAAATCACACATCCTACCATGCAAGTGTGACATGGCAGGACACCTGATTGTTGGGATTGAGGATCAGGGGCCTCAGGGTGTATTTCTGTGGGTGGTCTCATGCAAAGCAGACACTACCACTCAAGAGCTGAACACAGACCTCTAAGATTAGACTTCATATACATTCACAAGGAAATAATGCACAGTCACAAGTCATGATTACGATTAAAAGTATTTTACCACAGCCACATCTCTAACCTTGAGCCTTTATCCTTAGGAAAAAACAAACAAACCAGTCTGCTTACCATTCCTATGTGAATCTAAGTGTTGCTTTGCAGAGCATGTCTCCCCTTTGATATCCCCTGGTACTTCCATGCCCAGTTTGTGATAGAACTCCCTCTGCTTTTTCATTTCAGCTGTTCAAAATTTTAAACATTAGTTCTGTAATAATTGCCACTTTAACATTTCTACAACTCTTTCAACCCCTTTCCCCTTTTTTTGTAGGAGACATTTTCCTGAATAACAGAGTATGGAAGAATATGAAACAATATTGATTGGGGCTGGGGGCCAGGAACTTGCACAGAACTTGGGGACCCTGATGGACATGGCCATCAGTAGTAGGAGACAAGCAAGGGCTGTGCAGATACACCCCTCACTTGCCCAGCATCCGCCAAACCCCTAACACTGTCCCCCATCCTGCCACGACTTGGTCCTGTCACCACCCCTGGACCCCTACCACCACCCCCAGAACTACCACACATCTGCTGCTTGGCCCACAGTCTGAGTCAAGACTGACATCCCCGAGTTAAAGCATTTTACCTAAACAAAAGCAGTAAGATGCCAACACAAAGAAATGTGCTATACTGGACCTGTTGTATATAGTAGTTGAACATATCCATTGAACATATCCATTATTGTCAAAAGTGTTCCTATTACAAGAAGGAACAGCCAAATCCAAAGTTCTTTGTTAATAAAAGGCTGAAGTATGCAGTGGAAAGAAAGAAAATTAAATCTAACCTAAAAATTATTCAGAACGAAATATTTTACCTTCAAAAACTTAGCAGAGCAGCCACAATAGGCATGAATAGATGTGGAATTTAAACAAAAGATTGTGCACAACATATATAAGACATGCTTTAAGTTTTATGCATCTTTTCTCTGCAAGAGCCTCATATCATTTGTTACTTGAAACTTTTCAGGTTATTTTTATTGACTTTAGACAAAAGTAAGCACTGAAGGATAAAGCAGGGACAATACTAGAATTGGAATAGGCGAAGACATGCTCCCAACATATACATTTTTTGCATCTTTTTTCTTAAAGCAGCAGACAAGTATAACATCTTTATCATTCCTTTAAAACATGCAAGGGACTTATTTCTCTATCTAACATTTACTGTTAAAATTGAACATACCAAAGACTTACCTTCTTGGAGGCCGGGTACAAGTTTGTAAACAATATCTTGCATTGTTCTGTCATGACTGGCAGGAAGAACAAAAACAAAGTTTGAAAGTGGCCTGTTTATAATTAGCAATATCTACTCTATACATGCCATCTACCTCAAAAGTGTCCATGTTATGTAGATTCAACAGATTGGAATATGGATTTTTAAAGTCATAGTATAGAATATTTTGATTATCCCATATAAATACTGTTTGGCCACAGGTGTGATAAGAGAATTATTTTAGGTGACAGGAAGGGAATGAGATGAGAAGGAAAGACGAGTCCCAAAAGTCAGCCAGAAAGATGGGTCGACCACTGGGGGAAGGGGAGGAAAGCATAACTGGAGACAACTCTAAACCCCAACCCCACAAAACTTCTGAAAGTTAATCTACTGACATGCTTTCAGTGCAAGTTAAAGCAAATAACTTGGAAATGGAAAATATATTTTTAAACGTCACTGTGTGAAAGGATGAGAATGGTACCTCAACTTCCAATCTGAAATTTCTCTATCAAGCTCTAAATAAAAAGAAAAATCTAGTATAATTTAACTAACAGTCTCAGCAGCTACCTATATGTTACTACCTATGTTACTAACTATCTATGTCACTAGCTCAACTTTGGCTCCGACTTCAGCAG